TGTGTATATATATATATATGTATATATATATATATATATATATATGTATATATATATATATATATATGTATATACACATACTGTATGTTTATGTACACAATACACTTTGATCAGCCCCGACCTGATAATGTTTAATAATTTTATAAGGATGGACAAGATCTGGAGAGTAATGGGACACTGGCGTCCTATTTTGTTTTTCTTTATGTTGTTTTTATTTGAAACATTTTACTTATTTTTTATTTTGACACCTGCAATTTCATTTGTTTATTTGTTTGTTTTTTGGTACTTGAGATAAAACTTTCAGGACACAGGACCAGAAACCAGAAGTTGAAGACACAAAGGGATGATTTGCCTCCAGTGGCTTGATAAGGACATTTTTAAACGCCCCCACTTCATGTATAAGAGTACAACATTTCCCTGACTCAAAGAAAATATATAATTTAAGTGACTTTTTTCCAGAAGTTAATTTTTATTTTTCCCGTTGAAAGACAGACGTGTTGGTTTAGTGCCCATAACTCCTGATATCCTCAAGAAAATTTAATGAAACTTATTTATAGATGTATACAGTGGTGCATGAAAGTTTGTGAAGTCTTTATAATTTTCTATATTTCTGCATAAATTTGACCTAAAACAACATCAGAGTTTCACGCACGTCTTAAAAGTAGATAAAGAACCCATTTAAACAAAAAGAGACAAAAATATTATACTTGGTCATTTACTTATTGAAGAAAATGATCCAATATTACATATTTGTGAGTGACAACAGTATGTGAACCTTTGCTTTCAGTATCTGGTGTGACCCCCCCCCCCCTCACATTAACTGCAGCTTCAGGTCCTACGTCTCTCAAGGTGCTCGTGGAGTTCAGGTTTTTAAAATAAATAATTCATTTTTTGAAAAATAACATTTATATCATATTGCAAAAACAATTTCATGCTTTTGAGACGGACAGTTATTGGAAAGATATTCACATGTACAGTGACAGGAAGTGATGGCAGTAACAGGAAGTGATGGCAGGAACAGGAAGTGATGGCAGGAACAGGAAGTGATGGCAGTAACAGGAAGTGATGGCAGTAACAGGAAG